CATAAATCTTGAGCGAGATCAAGAAACCAAATATTGATTTGTGTAGAATTGAATTTCTGATTATTACTTTTGTCTTTGAAATCAGAAAAAATGATTAAGTATTTTTGGATAAGTATATTAATTTGCTATAGCATTATTTTTGGTATAGTTATGCACCACAACTTTAAATAAGTAATATTGATTTGTATAATTGTACACTGCAACTTTAAATAAGTAATATTGATTTGTATAGTTGTACACTGTAACTTTAAATAAGTGATATTGATTTGTATAGTTGTGCACTATAACTTTAAATAAGTGATATTGATTTGTATAGTTGTGCACTGCAACTCTAATTAAGTGATAATCCTTTTAGTTATTCATTTCTTTTGGTATTAAAAGCACTAGAACATATGACTACAAATATAGAAATATCAATATTCTTTTCTTTAGTTAACAATCTCTTTTTATCAATCATCTCTCTGAACACACTCTTCCAATCCCTCTTTTCATTTTTGATAGAATTGTTTAACAATTTTTGTCAAAATTGGCACAGGATTAGATACTTATTTTTGCACTGACCAATTTTATTAGTTTATTCCTCTCTTCTAACTCATATGACTCTTTTACTAATAGTGAAGAAACTCTTTATTTAGAGTAACTGTAGCAACACTCAACCAGATTGCTATAAAATATCAGTACTATATTGCTATAGAACTGTCATCACACTAAGTAAATACAAAGAAAGATATTTATTAATAGTAGTGTTTCCTATTCTAAATTAATAGAATAGAAAAAGCCGCACAGCACCACGATCCTAAAGCAACTGGATTGAATTATAACTTACTGAAATAAATGTTGGTTGAACTAAGGATGCTTACCTAAATCCTTTCAGAAAAATATCGTCATAATTTCGACGAGTTACACACTAATTGTTAATTAGAATTTCGACATAATTTCGGTTACAACAGGTTTCAAAATTCGTCAGAATTTTGATGGGTTATTTACTAATAGTTTATTATAATTTCAATAGAATTTAGACAGTCACTAAGAGATTTCGGCAAGCAACCTTAGGTTGAACACATATATCACGAGATTATCTATTTGAGTCCAGAACTCGTGATAGCATGAATATTTCAGAACTAGATCCATGCTCATTATATAATCAAGAACTTTTTTATATGAAATAAAAAATCTGATTACTATACTCACCTGTGATTATCCATTTCATTGTGATTGTATTGAAAGCTCTATCAAAAAATGTTCAATATGTTCAAACTCAGATTTCAAGAAGATATAATTTACAGTTAATGCTATATCTGGAAGTCAGAATACCAATAATTTGATGAATATATCTCCAATATTATTCAATGATCCCATATTATATTCAAGTTTGCCTAAAAAACATGTTAACAAATCTGTATCAGTGAGAGAAACTATGATCAAGAAGATTAAAAAGAACATCATATGTTGAAAAAGCTTATTGAGGAACTAAAATCGTCTAGTTCTTCATGTAGTACCGCATCTCAAACTGAATATATCATGAGTCCAGGTAATTTTACTGATTTATACAATGCAATTATTAAGGCTGAGGAGCAAATTGGAAGCACAAATCAAGAAGTTATTAGAGCATATTTTTTGTTTGGAAAGAAGCTTAAAGAGAAGTTGGCAGAATATATAAAAACTAATAAAGAGTGTAAAGCCCAGAGATTGCTTATCAAAGAAGTGTCAGTGCAACTATCATTTGATCTATCGAAGAATGCAGTAGAAAAAAGAATAGAAAGAGTGAGAAAAATTTATGATCTGTTTACTACAATTGGTGAGGATAAAATAGAAAAGGTTAAGTCGTATTCAGCATTGCGAATCTCCAAGTTAAACTGGGATGAGATTGATGTTATAGTAGAGAAATTCGAATTCTAGTTACTGCACGTGATTTTCACTGACCGATCGGTCAACGAAAACGTGAAAGCATAGAATTGATCTATATTTATATACTGTATAATAACGAATTAATAAAGTATCCATTTATATTGACTGGACAAATGAAATTTACTTGTAATCAAATTTGGGTTTTATTTTTATCGCGATTATTATATATGATATGATCACTTTAATAATATTACTATTATTACTTAAATACAAAGTTCATCAGATGCCTCATTCTTTCAAGATAATTTCCATTTAATAAATATTTAACCAACGAATATTATAAATAGCATGTTAATTTAAAGGTTGATTTTGTTTTGGTTTTTTTCACTTTTGTTGATGCATTAAAACCATCTGTTGAACTTCGTATAAGTCGATTCTAAAAATAGCATTCATCAATGCTGGAGGAGGAGGAGGCAGTGGTGCGTATCCAATTGCAGGAATTGCAGGATCGTAAAATACGTCGCTAACGGGGATCGCGATTATATAGTTAGGATCGTTCGGGCCATTACAACCAGTAGCGTCAGTAGGAGAACTATCTTTATTCACAGTCCCAAATCTCCACTGTCATAAAAAATTTGACTTTTGAGCATCACAAGTAGTAAAAGTAGAAAAAAATTCTCAACAGTAAAACTTACTGTCTGCTTTTGAACTCCTTGTCGCCATAGTGTGGCCTAATATTTAAAAGTTAAATATGTCTATAAAATTATATAATAATAAACAATAAGATGAACCTTCATTGGTCGGTCTCTTGCTCCTTGTGGGTTATTGCGTGAGTCAAATATATCGTAAATTTTGATGCCGAGTACAGATCGCACGTAAGATTGTCGTCTCCATCGCTTGCATTTGTCTTTTAAGTTAGAGGAAGATTGGGATATAGTTACTTCACAAATAATTCTTGCATGAGGGTTTCCCTATATCAACCGCATTAGTATCAAATTTTTCTATAAGCTATAAATTACATATGTCAAATTAAAAGTACCCTTATATCACTAGGTGGTGGTCCAGGATGTGGGACAGGAGGCGCTAGAACGTAAGCTTGATTTGGATAGACAGCAAGATCCGGTGCAATTCTAGTTCCATCTCCAGCTGGTGAGTGATGCACTATGAAAGACCATGAAAAATATTAGAAAACAATAAGTAGGAGATCAAACAACTGGAAGAAATTCTCTTACATGGAGTACCGAAAACTTGTATTGGTTCATTATAGGCATAAGTGGCGGGAGGACAGTGGGCACGAAAGGATTTTCCCAGCACCGCAACAACAGCTTCGTGCTCAGTTGAGCTCATTTCGACTATATATACAGAGCCGTTTTTATATTCAAATTTGTATACACTTGACTCTTGATTTTCAATGAAAGAGTTATAATCTTCCTCGGAAACGTCTGAGGCAAGCGGAAAAGGGAGACTGCGATTCGTACAAGTTAGCACTGAACGAATTAAATAAAACTAGCACGATGCCTACCCACCTGGTTTCGTTTAACGGCCTTTTTGGTAAATGAATCCTCTCTGACGAAAATGCCTTAAGAACCTTATGTAAATTAGGTTTACCCATTTTTATCATTTTTGCTCTTCAACGAGATAATTGAATATCTAAAAGAAAATGTAATTTACTAGTTTCCTGATTTTTTTTTGATGCAGGAGACTATTACTTTTTAGGTAAAAAATATTTATCCACGTGCTCACTAGTCCGAAAAAAGGTTGAGTATTAGGTATTTGACGAAATTAAGATATCACGAACTAAAACTCAAAGATCTCGCGGAATAGGGGTAATATCCTACAGGACAGGTGCAATTGCTATCTTTTAGATTCGATTTACATGATAAAGTCCGGGATTATATAACATTTGCGTAATTATCGGAAAAATAATATATGACTGACACGCATACTTATTATATTAAGTTTTATGATGATAGATCAAAAATTTTTAGAAGCTTGATTGATAAAACACTTAATTTTTTGTATTCTTTGAGGAATGACGATTTTTGGGTTTTCATCATACCATACTTCAAGAAGAAAAATCCCGTTATCTTGACACATGCATCTTTTTTGCCGATCACGATTAACAATATCTTCTAGCTTTTTAACATCCTTATACCAGCTAGTGTTATGAAGCCGATGTTGAGCCTCTTGTATTTCCAATGCAATTTGGTATTTCTGAAAGAAGGTATCAAGTTCTAACCATTCAAGAAAGAAGAATGATACTCAACTATAGGTTCTTCATTAAGAATTTCTTTAGCTATCTGAATGCATTTATTCTGAAATTTGCGGTTTTTCTTAAATCTCAATTCTTTTTTAAGTACTGTTACATCCTGTTCCAATTTCTCAATTCTAATTCTAGCTTTAAGTTCAGTCTGTTTCTTTCTTGCTTGTGTAATTATATCGTCATTCTCTGTCTGAAGCTTGATGACTCGTTTTTAACAAATCTAATTCAGATTGTGTATCTGCCATTGTTTTTACATAAAATTCAGATATATTCAAAAGTTCATTTTATTAGCATAAATAACTAAATATAATTAGAAGTACATGTTATATTACATAATACAAAATAATAAAAATCAATTTTGACAAGACAAATTCCTGATTATATATATATCGATATCAATACAATAAAATAAATCTTCAATATATACATGTAAAACTAAACATGATTAATTATACAAAATCAAGTTATCAGAGCCAGTTTATAACTCTTCACGGTAAAAAATAAAATAAATTTGAAGAAAAATATATGTTTATCTCTTTATTGATATAAAAATATATAGGCATATAGATACTAGATAAAATACAATCTGCAAAGCAGGACATTCTGTGTCTAAAAATTTACCTATCTAAATCTATTACCAAAGATGGTCATAGAGTAACTATTTATTATTTTTTCCAAAGATTTTCCAATAATTTCCTGAATATGACACTTTATTATCAAATTCATCACATGTTATTAACTGATCCTTCAACAGATCAATGATTATACTAATTATTTGTTTTATATTCTTCTTTAACAAATCAGTTTTTTTTATAGCCAATTTCGTGAGATTAATTTAATATTTACTTTTGCTTGTGCAAAGAATTCTTTCAAACATAAACATAATAAAATACCAATCTGTATCTAATATATACTGAATATTAATATTGTCACCGATTCAATATCATTAGTTATTCCATATGAAAACATGTGAATAGAAGACGCAGTAACGATAAAAGATTGGTCATAATAATATTTGGATTACGTGTCTA